GTGTTTACGTTAAAGATCTCACCACATTCCTGACGAAATCCGTCGAGGAAATTCAACGAGTAATGGCTGTAGGGAACGCAAATCGATCCGTCGGGTAAGGGACCATTTTACCGGAAAAAATTTTTTTTGCCAATCGTTTTGATCTAGGCGAACCAATATGAATGAACACTCCAGTCGGTCTCATGCAATTTTTATCATTACCGTAGAATGCAGTGAAATGGGTGAAGATGGCGAAAATCATATACGGTAAGGAACATTCATGTAATCCACTAAGGACCAACAACGGTAAAAATTTTTTTAGGGTTGGACGTTTAAACCTTGTCGATTTGGCTGGTAGTGAAAGACAAGCGAAAACTGGTGCTACTGGCGAGAGATTCAAGGTAGTTTGGTTTATTTTCGTATCGCTTATTATTATCTTTTATGTTTTTGTTCTGTGCTTTTTTGTGAAATAAATAGAAAAACATAATTTTATTTGCTTCAAAAAGATTGTTGTAAATCAATTTTTCAGGAAGCTACAAAAATCAACTTATCATTATCGGCACTTGGCAATGTGATCTCTGCTTTGGTAGATGGTAAAAGTACTCACATACCGTATCGAGATAGTAAACTTACAAGATTACTTCAAGGTAACGGAATTCGTAGCAAACTTGGATGCTCCAAAATGTGCTTTTTAGATTCGCTTGGAGGAAATTCAAAGACCGTGATGGTAGCATGCATAGGGCCAGCTTCCTATAACTATGAGGAGACGCTGGGTAAGAATTAATGTAAATTTCTTCAAGGGCCTTCCAATTCTGCAATATAGTTTAATTTTTTGAATTTTTTTCTTGTTCTTTCCTTTGGAAAAAAACCTAGGAACTGAAAAATCAAACGAACTGACAGTCTGAACTGCTTCATTGTTGAAGTTCGTGTTCACTCATATATTCTTTTAGGTACTCTCCGATACGCCAACAGAGCTAAAAATATCAAAAATAAGCCAAAAATCAACGAAGATCCCAAGGATGCCATGTTACGAGAGTTCCAGGTGGGTGCATTTTTTGATTTGGTCAGTTTTGTCAGTGGTGGGACGAGGATGAAGGTGGAGAAGGTCCCGCCGAGTATGGGTTGCAAGATTTACGAGCCTGCTAATTTGATAGAAGTCTATTAATTCAATACATATAGTACAGTGCAAATGACTTGCTTACAATTGGAGAATTCTTCAAATTCCTGTTAGCATT